TGAGGAAGAGAGTGATCTCACAGTATGTCTTATTTTTATAGTTCAATAATCAAATGGTATTTATGGCTTTTTTTTCAATACAGTGGTACGCGATGTTTTCCGCCATTTTGTCGGGCGCCTTTCAAAGACTCCAAATGGCGGAAACCATCGGGCAACTCTTCAATTCAATTATATGATGATTGATTTTTGCCGCCAAATCGCTAATTCTTCATGAAGATGCGCAAAATTGTCCACATTCGTTTGTTCCTTCAAACTTCAATTCTCTCGATCATTACAAAAACTAACAGAACCAATGAAGCTTAAATTACCTCATTAACCTAATTTCGACCCAAAATCTCCAGTATCACTCAAATATTCACGCACATAAAGTTTAATTATCAAAATAAAAATGGAACCGAACGAAGATCAGCCTCTTGATGTTGTAAATGCAACCCCAGTGGAAGAAGAAATTAGAAAAGCAGAAACTAACGAACAGTTACCACAATTATCAACGCAGTCTAACTCCCGGCAAATCCAGGCAGAGAAATCTCGAAATATTACTAGATCAAATAAATCAAACAGGAAAGAAGAAAATTGTGCGAAGAAGATGAGGAAGAAGGGAAAAGGTGTAGCGAGGTCGACAACCATGACAGTTTTTGTCAATGAGAAAGAATGTATTTTACCAAGAATAAATCCCATTCCGAGACACTGTCTTTCTAAGAAGGAGTGGATTGATGTGTTGGCTACACCAAGTAGAAAATGTCCACCCCCTTGCAGAAAGAAGCAAGTCGAGAGGAAATTGCGACCCGTTTCTGCCAGGATCAATGAATTGGCATTGCCTACGAGGCAGAGGATGATGATGACACTTCAAGATTGCGGCGAGATCCTCCCTGCTGAGCTAGTGGACAAGTTGATTAATATTCTGGAGGGTGAATCATGCTTATCACCTGAGTAAGATATTTCTCATTACCATTGCTTATCATTGCTTATCATTGCTTTTTGCACTGCATTGTTCTGTCCTACGAAGAATTTTTCTGCGAAACTAAATTAAATCGCAAGTTAATTATATAACCGAAATAAACAATTTCATCGTACACTAGCACACTTTAATCAGTATAAATAAATGATTCATCTCTACTTTATTGATCCTAAACAATGATTTTCGTAAAATAAGAAATGGAAAAAGGGGGGGCTTTTGTAGATTTTTGACTGAAGGCTCATTTGACTTTCAGTTTTTTCCAAAAATCGCATGTTTTTTTCTTCGGTATTTTTTCTTCAATGGATTCCCGTAAAAAATTAAAAATTTAAAAATTTAAAAAAAATGTATGACCGAAGAGTAATATTAATTAGTATTATTATGACCGATTCATTGCACTTTTTTTTTTCTTTTCGTGATGTCTTATGCATCATGTATCGACTTGAGAATATCTTACATAAAAGAAATTCTTGTTGGAATTTTGTTAAAAATTCTGTATTTCCATCTACCATATTGATCATTTATTTTTCAGACAAGCGGAGCGGTTATTCCGCAGAAAAATACCAAGTCCGAAAAA